CCACAGAAGTGGCCACCCAAACAGACAGCTGCTTGCAGAGGAGCCCTCGCCTAGGCACGTCAGGAGGCATCTATATGAACTGACGGACGAAGTCCAGAGGTTCATTAAGCAACCTCTGGACCCGACAGCGTACAGACAGGCCCTGAACGGCATTCACAGGGACTCAGTCTCGAGTTATGTAGACTCTCGACCTGTGAATGCCGTTCTAGGCATACCACCCCCGGACATTGACGAGACAGAGCTTCATCTGCCTCGGGAGACACGCACTACACTTGCTCAACTTCGCTCCGGCTACTGCAGCAGGTTAAACTCCTACTTGAGTAGGCTGAATGAGGATGTGCCGAACGAATGTCCGGCATGCGGAGAGACCCCACATGACTCGAGTGGGCAATTCACAAGGTGTTGTGAAGTTATATTTTCCTAACAAAAGTTGTGTTAAAACACGACGGTTGTGAACACCTGTTACGATTATTTATTATATCTCAGCACTTAACCTCACATAACACCGAATAAACATAGGTTGCAGAGTTGTATCGTCATGTGTTATTTTTCTTCACAAAACAATAACAACATTTTTACAACTGTCATGAAATATCATGACTTAACGACAAACACGACAAATACGACACCTTGTGAATTGCCCAATTGTTATTATATATATGAGGGTGTGAAATAGCATATTTTTTAAGTGATGAAATCCGGCAAAAAAGCCATCAGCTTCAAGATAAAAAATGCCCACGCACAAATATTGCCTCTGATAAAATTTATGACAGGCAATAAAAATATGTGGAGAGGGGCTACTAAACTTATCATGTCATCTAGTCAGTGTCAGGCATTCGCCAAGACAAATGGGGAGGATAGTTCTATTTAATTCATTCTTGAATTACTTTAAATTTAATTATTGTTACCCCCTTCTTGAATTAAAATGTTGAGCGTCTGAGGTATATACCTACATACATACAGGGTTCTCTATGCTTTCTACAGACCCGTATGTAATATTTAAATTTAAAGAAATAAAAATTGAAAATTTAGGTAATTTATGACGTTATTAATAAATTTTTGTAAGAATCGTATCTAATCGTATCTAAATAAATCTACTTTTTCCAACAGTTTAACCCATCAACTATCACCAGAACAGGCTTTTTAAACCTTTGTTTAAAAAATGGCTTATAGATGGTTACAATTTCCACTAAAATATTGAACGCCAAAATTTTCTAAGGATAACCGAATGGAATGAATAATAAAACAAATTTTTACCAAAAAGGGGGAAGTTTAACCCTGTGTAGAAAACATTGCGATGCGATGAAGCAACACCTTCCTGGGGTTTGACCACCAATTATGAATGCTAACGTATTTTTCACACAGCCACTTAGTAATTGTATACGTCTGTGTGACCCCAGAATAAAATAACCTTCGAATGTAAAAATCAGCAAAAAAAAGGTTTTGCTTTTTATTAAGTCTATACGCGTAGTAGTTCCATCAAACGATATTTTTCAACGTGCATACACCATAAAAATTTTGTACAAAATTCCTAAAGCGCCGAACGCCGCCGCCGCCGCGCCAATATTTTCGTAACTCGGCGGCGTGTGAGAAATGACAAACAACGGCGGCGTCGGCGGCGTGGCTCGGCGGCGTAAACCTCTAGTATGTATTAATATAAAAAAAATATTTATTGGTGCAAAAATAGTGGGTAGGCCTGTGGCCAATGGTAAAGTTCTTTTACCACCTCTGCAAGATTGTAAGTTATGCTGAGTCCGCAAAAAGCTCCGGAAGCATTGTCCGGAGGATGCATTAGACCAGGCCAAGCATCGGTTATTTATTTAAGTAAAACGTGGGTAGGCACTGTGGCCAATGGTAAAGTTCATTTACCAACTCTGCATGGTTGTAAGCCATGCAGAGTCCGCAAAATGCTCCGGATGGTTGTCCGGAAGATGCATCAGACTAGGCCCGACCATACCTAGAACTGCCATCAAATTATAACTTAAGATAGTTTTATTACATGGCAGTTGAGAAGTCCTTCGGACATGCAGCAGTACATATCATGCATTTAGGCTCTTTTGTTAGGAAAAGAGTTTTACTTTCGTAAAAAATAATAAACATTAAATAAACTAAGGAAAAATAGCCTTGCTAAACTTTCGAGTACTAATTTATATTTTGGTCACTATGTATTCTTCGAATCGAAACACACACATTCAGGTTAGAAAATAATAACTGTTTACGGAGAGAATTACGATCATATACCAACATCACTTAAAACTCGTTAATAGGCATGTAAATTTAATGAGCTGTTAAGGCGTCAAAACATCGAATACGGGACAAATACAGGACATTAAAAGAAATACAGAACATTTGGCGTCCCGCATAATATAAATAAATTGCCAGGATAATGGGTCAAAAAAAGAGGACTGTCGCGATTAATATAGGACGGATGGTCACCGTAGGCATACCAACATTACGAATTTCGAAGATGGCCAACAAATTTCGAAATTACGATACGACAAGGCGGATTTCAGCATACCAATTTTACGATTCGTGGCAAAATCGAATCTACGACGGATTACAGCATAGGGGTGTTAATTTACTAAGGGCCGGTTACTCAATGTCTGGTTAACACTAATGGCCGGTTAAACATTGTTATCGACGTATTCGACTCCATTCATATAACAGGGAGGCGGTAACGTCGATAAAGATGTTTAACCAGAGATTAGTGTTAACCAGACATTGAGTAACCGGCCCTAAATCTGTGCAATAATTTAAGGTAAAAGTGCACTTTAGCGAAATCAGGCCAAAATTGATGAAAAAATTCAAGAGGGGTATCAATCTACGCGTTTTAATGCGAACAACAATAAAACACTTTCGCGAAATTCTGTATTTAATAGCAATATTCCGATGGTGAAAATCCGCACAACAATCTTGCGTAGTTAATATAAATAACATGGAGCAAAACTAGTGTTGCCACTCTATTAAAAATAAAATGGAAGTAAATTGCTGCTGCCACTCTATTAAAAAAGTTTTTGTGCGTCCAACTTCTTTTTTTCGTAGGCGGCCTTCGGCCGCGCTCAGGGATTATAACCCTCACAGCGTAGAATTCTCCTTTCTATGTTGCCAAAGAAAAGGGGCAGAACACCTGACTTTTCATAAAGCGGCCTCCATCCTCTTTCGTTTAGGGGTTGGGGGGCCATGCCCTCCCTACGCCCTTCCACCCCTAAATCGTTGTACAAATAGCTGAACATTCCCCAAATTTTTCTTAAATTAGGTCCAAATTTGAAAAAAAAAATTAGGGGTGTAGAGGAACTTTTTCGGAAAACGTTTGCTTATTTGTAAAACGATGTGGGAAAATTTGGTGAAAATCGACACGAAAAACCAAAAAAGAAAAAATTGGATCTCTAGAGGGGGTCTTTCTGTTTGTAAAGCTGAAGACCGCACCCCGCGCACTCTCACAGTTTTTAAGTAATTTGATGTTAAAGTTGCGGAATTCACCATATATGTTGAAGCAAATTTCCTCGATTTCATCATACAAAAGTGCTTGAAATAAATAAATGTAGGGTGGGCTTTAGTATTCAGCCGCACCTTTTGTTTTAAGAAAACCAGGTGGAATTAACAAATGAAACTTGGTCAGGATGTTAAGGGAGGTATCCTCTTAAACATGTATAACAAAAAAAATATAAACAATATGTTTATAAGTTATTTGTTGTTAAAATATCTTAAGTCGTTCCACTTGATTTTCTTATCAAAAATGCATTTGTCACATACTTTCATATACATATATAAATGCACTTAACGCTCTACCTAATAGTTTACACACATTCATTTTATTTTATCTTGTATATACCTAAATCACTTTAATCCAACTTATATTAACTTGTAAATTACATTAAATTGCAACCATATTTACAACTAGTCTGTGGAACTGCCAAACTACAATTTTACTTTCTCAAGTGAGAGTAAAATGAGAACAGATGCAGAAGTGCACGGGAACGAAAAAAGCACTATTTCAGTCGGTATGTTTACATGTCATTTGTACAACACTGATTTGGCTGAAATATCACTAACTATTTATTAAAATCTATACATATCAAAAGACTTCCTTGTTTACTTCCATTTTTTTTTACAAATATAAGGTTCTTTGCTTACATCGCTTTCTGTTTTTGTTTGCACATGCAAATCAGCTGATGGTTTGATACTTTTCATTCCCACGACAGCCGGTTCTACGTACCGGAATGACTCGGGTTTTACCCGACCAAGGGCTGTTATTTCGGCGATCTAACCCCGTTTAGGTCGGCGAAATCCACTACGTTGCTCGATTCTAGGGCTACATCTGCTCCGTACCCTTCTGCTCAGGGCTGGTATGGAGTCTCACCCAGGGCCAGTAATTTACACCTGCAGCGTATGCCAGAGACGGCTGCATACAAACTCCACCTCGGTCAGGTGCAATGCCTGTGACGGGTGGAGTCACCTCCGTAACTGCTCGGACCTATGTACGCACCGGCAATGGACCGCCTCCACGGCAAACCACCACCCGCCTGGGCAGCACACAATCAACACACCCACACCCCAACACAACACAGCAATAGACACACAAACAAACACAATAGCACCCACACACCGCCGCCGGCAACTCCTAGTCCCTCCGACAATCTGCTCTGTTTGTCAGTCCAGAATATACCGTAACGTGACATCAGTCAAGTGCAACTCTTGCCTCGGCTGGTGCCACTTTAGGGCGTGCTCAGGACTTCGCAACACGCGAGATTGGACGAGTGACTATGTGGGCCCCTGCTGTGCTGCCCCGTCGCATCCTTCCCCGCGACGCCGCCAACCACCACCACAAGGCAGCACCCCCTTCTGCAGCACGTCCAGCAGGGGGCCGGCAGGCAACACAACTCTTTAACACCACACATCACAATCGGTCTCCCAATGCACACAAAGGTGCTACAATTTAACTGTAACGGACTCCAGAGCAAGATCGAGGAGATAACTGTCTTTAAGGGAAGGCATGGAATATTAATAGCTGCGGTCCAAGAGACGAAGTTGCACGGCAATTCAACCCTGTTGAATTGCGCCGGATACAACGTGCACCGTCGAGATCGCGAGCGAGATAATGGTGGAGGTATCATTTATAATGGTTCACAAAAATTCAGTTTCATTACAACTTTGCAAAATTTGATTGCGTTTTTTCGACTTATATATAGACGGTTTCAAAAGTTGCAAAATTTCTATAAAAAAGTTAAGCGATTTTAACAATATTATAATCAAAAGAAAGGTAATCGGTTTACCTTTCTTTTGATATATATTAACAGTTGCAAATCCTTTACACTAGTTCACAAAAAATCTGTTTTGTTACAACTTTGCAAAATTTTACCACTTTTCCACTGCTCTTATATAGCTGTTTACAAAAGTTGCAAAGTTTTTATGAAAATGTAAAGCAATTTTAACGGTGTTATAACCAAAAGAAAGGTAATCGGTTTACCTTTATTTTGATATATATTAACAGTTGCAAATCATTTATGGTGGTTCAGAAAAATTAAGTTTTCTTACAACTTTGCAAAATTTGACAAGTTGGACCTACACTTTGAAGGTGCTCCTGGCGTTGAAGGTGCTGAGGGCGGAAGGTACTCATGGTGCTCCTGGCGATGAAGGAGCTGAGGGTAGAAGGTACTGGTGGTGCTCCTGGCGATGAAGAAGCTGAGGGCAGAAGGTTCTAATGGTGCTCCTGGCGATGAAGATGCAAGCGTTGAAGGTGCTCATAGTGAATCTGTAAACAAGCAAAAATATCAATTAAAATTTATAAACATATAAAAAGTCTCAATACATACCTTAAGAATGTGACTAAGTCGCTGCTGTTTTGCAATCTAAAAGAAGAAATTACATTATAATTAAATAAAATTGTTAAATACGTATTCTTACCTTCAAAATTTTCGTAGTGACATTTCTTCACAGTATGTATACTGTCATCAAAACTCTGATGTTTCTAACTTGCTCGCTCTAACGCATAGAATTCTTGTTAGAGTACGAATTCTTATCGGGTATGTAGCTCTAACAAAGGGACATTTTTTGACAGTTCGATCAAAAAATTTGTAAGTGTGTGGGTGAGATGACTAAAAAGTTGTGAATGTGTTTGTAAATAGATTGAATTTTAGGGGAAAGTGGTAAGCCGTGGCTGGCAGGGAAGTTACTTTTCGACTAGCTGCGAAGCAGACAAAAAATGGGAAAAATAATTCAAAAACTATGATTTCTATAGATTTTTGTACGGGCTATGCGATGGCACTATGTGTTTTCCAAAATTTTCCCATTTTCATGGGGAAAATTCTGAACGAAAATTTATTTGTAATTTTTCTGAATTATGGTTATTTTTAATATTGTTTTTAGTTATCTCAATCAAAATATCAAGTCTTTTTACGTATAAATCACTAATAAAAAAGGACTTTGTTTACTTTTCCGAGTTATAAAGCCTTTTAGAGCGCAGCGCGCTAATCTGCAAACCGTGCGAGTCATAACAATATTGTTATAACTTTGCAACTACTTGATGCTTAATTCTGAAACTTTCGCAAAAACTTCCCTAGATAGTCACCTACAACACTGTTTTAAAACAAAAAAAAATAAAAAATTTATTTCAAACTTTACAACACAACTTTTGCGTTTGAAAACAAACACGCTCTTAATTCTCATAAAAAAGTTATAAACCTGTAGTTTTATTTGTAGTGTGTATTAAGAAGTGGCGTTAAACTTAAGTTCTTTGGAATAGTTTGTAGTTTATTGTATGAAAATTTCAAATCGATCGATACACAAACGACTGAGACATTGCGAGTTTAAATGACAATTTTGTTAAAATTATTATCAAGAATCAGTTCAGCCCAAGGCGAATTAATATAAGGTGATAGCAGCAGTACAAAAACAAAAATTTACATGTATTATTGGAGTTATAAAAACTTTGGTTATGTAAGAGTTAAAAAAAATAGTAATTCGCGAATTTTCTGATTTCTGAAATTAAAAAATTATACAACAGGCATGCAAATCTTTAAGCGCTGTTATAAATTTTTTTTCTGAAATTTATTCGTGTTTCTTGCTGTGATCTTAAATTTTAGTCATGGTAAAGAAAATCTTAAGAAGTGAGTTGTTTGACATTTGGAGAAGTGTTGCTGAAACTTCTAAAAGACAACAAGGTGTCCGTGATTATGTGATTAGTAAATTGAAAGAAATATCTGATGAAAATGCTCGTTCCGAAGTAAATAAAGTAAATGACTTTAGATTCGTAATCAGCAACCCAGAAAACCCCCAGATACCCAGTTGCATAGAAATCTACCGATTTTTTTTAAATTTTCGTCCGCCATATTGGATCCGCCATTTTGAATTTTTGATAAATGACTTTAGATATGTAATCAGAGACCTAGAAAAGCCCCAGATACCCAGTTTCATAAAAATCTAGCGATTTTTTTTAATTTTCGTCCGCCATTTTGAATTTTTGATAAGTGACTTCATATTCGTAATCAGCGACCCAAAAATCCCCTAGGTAAGAAGTGGTGTAAACTTAGATGTTGTGCCTGTAGCTGAGTGCACAAAGATGATGGCTACAATTAGTTGCGGCCGAAAGTGTCCAAGTTCAAATCTCACTATGCAGAACATATAATTTAAAATTTTTATTTTCGTTTTTTTTTTTTAATTATGAAAATGTATCTGTGAAGTGCACAACGAAAAAAAAGTGGTTCGGTTACAGGTTACATGTTACTACTACAAGTACTAGTGAAAAGTTACGCAGAGGGAGTCAATTGTCACCTCCTAGGACAACTCCATGTTAAATGCGACAGTAGAAAGCATGGGTAGTAGGTTTGCTAGGTACCGGTATTCGACTCCCGAAAACTGGTGAATTCATTAGTTCTGTACTAGTACTTTCCGCTGCAGGGTAATTGGCACACTAAGACAATCACACTTTCAACACGCGTTTACTTGTGGTTGTGATCACATCTGCTCATATACACTTGTCGTTATTTGAATTGCACACCCTTTCAATCCTTAGTATTTACAGTTTTCCTTTTGTTTATTTAATATAAATTTTTTGTAAAAATATAGCATATTCTACGGGTAAATGCAATTTTAAATTTTTTTACAAATTAAAACTTAAAAGAAAATTTCTTTTCCATTTCTTGGGCAGCATTTTATATGATTTTTTCGGTTTTCTTGAGAGCTGGAAACAGTTCTTAAAAAAGGTCAACATAGGAGTGTGCCATCCTAATGACCTGCAGTGAATAAGTTAATAATATTTTTAGAAAAATTTCGGATATGCAGTTTTGTAGCGCATTCAATTATAGTGTAATAAAGTGCAAGTTTCAAGAGACTCTAAAAGTCTAAACAGACGACAGCGTTGATCCGGACTAACTCGGACTTAATCCGGATCAACTGTAGTTGATTCCCGAGTTGATCCGGATCAACGCTGCCGTCTGTTTATGCTTTAACATAGCACCGATTTTTTTAATTTTTTTGTTTTGTTTGTTTGTTGACGGTGCTGCGCATTTTATTCTATATACAAATTTTGTCGAGCATACTTTGTATGAGAGAAAATGCGCAGCACTATCACCAAAAATATTGTCAAAAATCACCGCTAATTTACAGACACTTGAAACTTGCACTTTATTGTACCCCTTTGTTGACATTTTTTTAACTCAGTATAAAGTTTTAAAATCGGATGTAATAAATATTAAATAAACAAAATTAAAAATGTAAATACTAAAGATTAAAACGTTGAGCTATTCAAATGACGAGGAGTGCATGTGGCATACGTTCGGGAGAATGGGCCCTTTTACTCCAGAGTGCGTGTGCAGTGGCTCTCATTGGTATACGTGTATTAGTAAGATTCGTTGCCCCCTTCATGTTTGCCCATGATGGAAAGTGCCCATGTCTGGAATAAACGATGAATAAGATAGGAAAATAACATCAAACTGGGTGCTGTCAGACTGGAATTTTGAATAATTAGAGCGGATTTTTAATTCGGAATTTTCATTTAGTAGAATTCTCCTTTCTGTGTTGCCGAAGGGATTATAGGGATTATAATCCTCACTATGTAGAATTCTCAATTCTGTGCAACCGAAGAAGGGTGGCTCAACACCTTTTGCAGAGAACACCTTTCTGCGTAGGCGGCCTTCGGGCGCACTTAGGGACTATAACCCTCACTACGTAGAATTCTTCTTTCTGTGTTGCCAACTGTGTTGCCAAAGAAGGGCTGGACACCTTTTGCAGAACACCTGTCTGCGTAGGCGGTCTTCGGCCGCAATTAGGGATTCTAACACTCACTAAGTAGAATTCTCCTTTCTGTGTTGCCTTCTTTGTATGTATTGTTTTTTACAGTACGGCAACACATCTTATGTGTCAGTTTGCAACCATGTGTTATTTAGTCAGTTCCAATAGCAGTCCTGTTTACAGGATTTAGTCAGAACTTACAGGAAGTCGTTCCTACTGACATAAAACCTGTAAGTGGGAACACTTTTGAGAGAGTAACTGAGCAACTGTTCTTAGCCAGAAGTTACAGAAGTTTGTCCGGAGTTTTTTTTTCCTGTAAGTTCATTGGTTGGGCACATCCTCATTGATTCTGCTCAGGTAAGAGTGTAGCCCGCTGCAATAG